CAGAGTTTAAATATTGGTGTAGTAAATCAAGTTGACGGTTGTTGCCGTTAAATATTATAATAGTGTCGTCTACATATCTAAAGTATTTCACTATTCTATTTACATGTTTGTTTTTATCAGAAAAAATTTGTCTATGTTATTTAAATAGATTTCTGACAGGATTCCCGAGAGAGGGGAGCCCATGGCAAGACCTTCATTTTGCTTGTAGAATTTTCCATTGAACGAAAAATAATTTTGGCCTAATATTTCCTTTAGGAGACATATTATTTCTTCTATGGCTTCAGGTAGGAGGCTTGAATTTTCTTGTAAGTTTTTAAAAACTAATCTACAGTTTTGTCTATTGGAACGTTGGTATATAGGTTTGTAATGTCAAACGATGCTAAAATATGGTGTTGTTGAATGTTGAGACTTTTAGTTTTTTCAATGAAATTATTTGAATTTTTTAAGCTATAGTCATTTTTTAGGACAGTATGTGTCCTAAGAATTTTCTCTAGGCGTTAAGCAAGTTTATTGAATGTTTATTGTTTAAGAATCTCACTTGACTCCTCGGAGCTCTCGTCACTACAGAATGTCTGCCAACGTCTTCAAAGATTTGCAAATGGGCATGTGACCCTATTTCCCACATATTTTTTCATTTGCATTTTTTGTTTGAATTGTGCATAATTCTCCTTTGAGTTCTAGTGACATTGTCGTACTCACTTATATATCTGTGCGTATTCAGGATCATCACCTTCTTGAGGAATTAGAGGACCTAGTCGGTGGTAAAACGTGTCATGAATCTTGAAATTGTCGATCCCCTGTGGAATTTTCTCATCTTAATGAGCTTCGGAGCTGACCATGGTAAAGGCAGAATTGAATCGACAAATTTTATCCAAATAATTTCTGGATATAAGTATCACAGTCCTTTTTTCAGATTGGGAGTTTCCAATAAGATCCTGAAGGTATGGTGAATTGCACAAATGAGGTAAACAAACCTTTCATCTATAGTAACAAAGAGTAAAACTTAACTGTCTCGGTCAGTCTTTTCTTGCTTAAAATGTTAAGCTTAAAATATCACTACAATGTTAACATTTAACGTTAATTTGTCTGAGGTTGGAGGTTGGATGTATCACAACGGTGGTACTGCCACTATGTACCCGTCAAATGTTCAATTGAGAGGTTGATGCAAGCGGTCATGTCCGCGTTCCCTCCAGCCACTCACAGTTCTTCGTCGTACTCGCGGCATTTGATTTTAAATTGAAATGAAATAAGAAAGTTAACCAAACAACATAAAACACTGTATAGGAACTGGAATTTTAATACACATTGTACATTGCATGATAATATGGTAATGTAACGGATAACTGCCCTGTGAATAATCACTTTTAAACATTCACTTCATCGCATCGAACTGTAACTACATGATAATCAGTAAAGTACGATGGTAAATCAATTTAACCATAGTCAAAAATAATGAAATATTTATTAAATATTTATTCTTTTTGTCTATGATTTAACTATTACAAACACTTTGTTGTCTAGTATTGCTAGGAAACTCTTGATTATGAACCAGACTTAGTTAACAGACTGAAACAAAATATAAATTCTAGCTTTACTCTGGAAGTTTTAAGTCCTGCAGTCTGTGGTTAACCTTAAAAAACTATTTCAAACTACGTCCATATGTTATTTTGTAAACAAAAGAAAATGAGTTTGATCTAATGTCAACAGATAGCGCCGCCTTCCAAACTTTAGCCCTTAAGTGTACTTAAGTGGAGCCCTTTCTTAGACGTGTATTCTGAGACGTATTTGCACATCTACGTGAAAATACCTTTGATTTGACACCTCAAACTTTAAAATCCATCAAGCCGTTATCGAGTTATGACTGTGAAAAGAAAACTGCTTGCGTATTAATATATAGATAATCTGGCTGACGTAATTTTTAGAGTTTTCATCTTTGATGGAGCTAATAGCTATCTCAGCATTTAACAACTCAGAGGTTAAATTTTTATTCCAATTTCTTTTCAATATGTTGTGTTTGAGTCCTTTATTGATGACGTTCATTTCGGGTTCGGTAAAAGTCAAGTTTGTACAGTTTTTTACTCTAGGAAAAAATATATGGTTTGATATGAATCACTCAATTGGTTTGGACTGTAATTCAACAAGTTTTTCTATTTTGCATTTTTGTGTTTCTTTTTTCCTGAAAATGATTTTATTTATTTGATTATCGATATTCATCAAAACATTATTAATTTGAGAAGGGTGGATTGCATTCAAAATGTCGATGTGTGAATTCAAGAGTAAATTGTTTAACATATCTTTCTTCTTGTAGAGAGATTTAATTTCATTTTAGCGAATTTCCCTATAGGGAAGAATCTATTACCGTAGGTGGCACGGTAAGACCTAGACCCGGGACCGATTTACTTTTTCATTTTGATGTCCCCAGAGGCCAAAAACACCATTCGTTCAAATTTTTATATATGTATATATATAGACTTATATATATACAATACTTATATATATACCATACATACAAAAATTATAACGAAAACATTACCATACTAGACATTATCAACAAAGGAACCAAAATGAACATAAAAGAAAATTTTCACATATATAAACACTACAAAGAAGACAGAAACAACATTTTAAATATAGTACACACACAAACCACTAATCCTATATTTAACAAAATTATAAGTGTTAGAAAAACCAACAACTAAACATTCATTCACATAGGTACTAACAAAATTAACAGCTGTATTTATTCATAACATAATATTTTTGTTTGAAATTAGGTTAACACACTTGAAAATGTCCTTAGAGACGAAACATGTTGTGATTTATTAAATAAAAAAGAATATAAAAAAAGGGTACTCATGTTATTTTACATATTATTTATTAATATAGACTTATATATATATATATATATATATATATAAACGTCCGTGAACGCGATGACTTGAGTAATTCTTGTCCGATTTTGATGAAATTTGGTTTAAAGGTGTAAAGCGGGATAAACTTGAATGAGTTCGCAAACCAGCATGATCGGACGATGGGAACGGGGCTTTACGGGGGGGTTTTATGGGGTAAAAATTGGGTTTTCTCACTTTTGACCCTCAAAACACAAAATTTCCCAATTTCTCTTTAGACCTTTTTAAAGAGCTTAAAAAAACAATTAATTTAGTATATAAAAGTATTTTTGTTCGGTTAATAGTAACGGAGAAAATAAAAAAAATTGTACATTTAAAATTCCCATGTTATTCTTATGGAGAATATTGTCAAATGTTGTAGTTTGCTTGTTTATGGATACATTTTGTATTTTGATAAAATTTTTTATTTTGTACTAAGCTATCAATATTTTACAAAAAACACACTTTATTAGTTTCCTTGTAGCAGCAAACCTAGGTACTCGTTAAACCTAATGTTATTAAAATATATTTAATTGAAAATCAATTAAGACAAATGGAAATTTGCTTAGTCGGCAGGTTTGCTGCGGTAGGGGTATTTTATCCAAATTGATTCTGCTAAAGATTTGGCCTTTTGAGCAGCAAAGCTCTTGTTCTTTACTTTTACTTGGACGTAGTTGGGGGCGATGTTCAGGTCCATGCATGCCTTGTTAAATTTTATGCTCTGACGTGTGTTCAATAATTTTGAGATCATTTGCGTCAACCAGCTGCAACATAGGCTATATTTTAAGTAAAAAGTAGTGAGGGTACTTACCCTTCAACAGCCTAAATTTTGTGGGCTAACTAATGATGATGGGGGGAGAAAATCATAATATCGCCAGATAGCGCAGTTGTTGTGCAGCGGGTGACGATAATGATGTCTTCATGATTTGTCAGTGACTTTGCCGCGTCGCAAATGAATACAATGATACCTCGCAACTGTGGGAGACGTTCATGATGATATGATGTCTCCGTGACAGTGGTAGATGTTCAAAAAATCACCATGATCGCTTCAGATATTTTATGATGGCGCAGTGATTTCGGGACATAGCATTAATTTTGCCCCTGCTATACTCCATCAACAACTGCATCAAGGACTCCCGCGATCGCAGCAAAATCATGAACATCTTCCGTGGCCGTGATGACGTTATTATCGTCTCCCGCAATCACTCAAAGGCGATTGTTGTCTCCTGCGATCGCAGCAATATCATGAAATTATTCCACGGCCGTGTTGAAATCATCATTGACTCCCGCTACCTCAGCATAATCATGAACATTTCATGATATGCCATGCATAATTTTATCCCGTGTAGACGTCATCATGATCACGGAAACGTCATCGATGTAGAAATGACGTAGAAATTATCACGGCAAATCATGAACATCTTCCGTGGCCGTGATGACGTTATCACGGACGTTATCACGTTATGTCATTATCGTCTCCTGCGATTACACAAACGTGATCGTGGTCTCCCACAATCGAGGAAAATCACAAAAATCTTCTGCGGCCTTGTAGATGTCATCATTGACTCCCGCGGTCACAGAAACATCATCGTCGAGGTCCACAATCACAGCAAAATCATGAACACATCCCGCGGCAGTGTAGACGTCACTATCTTGCGATTACGGAAATGTCTTAGTTGTCTTCCGCCATCGCGGCATAATTATGAACATCTCCTGTGGCCAAGAAGACGTCTTCATCGTCTCCCGTGGTCACGGAAACTTGGTTGTAGTTGTAGGTCTCGTGGGCGTGACGGGTATTGGTATCGGAATCGATTTCTGATGATCGGTTCTTGATACTGATACCAAAGGCCAAGTATCAATGGTATCGAGAATCGACTCATCCCTATTAATTTTAATCTCCTATGTATCTAAGTTAGAGGTGAGAACTAATTTTTAGTTGCATGGTTAGGCCTGGATTTTATTCTCACTCTTAATTACAGATAAGTACAAATGTTGAACCTAAATATTTTCCATGTCCTTGGGAACCATTGTATTGCAAAGACAACTTTTGAACAAAATATGTTGTTTTTAGAGGATAAGTGTTATAGGCTATGTTAAATGTTGTCTTTGCAGAGCCCAAGATAGGCTGCGTGGAGGAGGACCGAGTAGTGAGAACGACAAGGAAGCTAGCATGGAGCTTATACAGCTAGACATCAGTCGTACGTTTCCTCACCTTTGTATCTTCCAGCGAGGCGGTCCATACTATGACATGCTGCACTGCTTGTTGGCTGCTTATGTTTGTTACAGGCCTGATGTTGGCTATGTGCAGGTAAGAAAGAGCATCTCACCCACAACTTTGGTTAAGAGTTGCTCAAAATATAAGGGAAACTTTTTGTGGGTTCAAATTCTTAGCTTTATCAAGTAGGTTGAACGAATTTGAACTTTTTCTAAATCACTAGTTCAGGGCATATATGCCCATGGTACTAATGCCAGTGATCTACCATCAACCAAGTTAGCATCAGATGCATTTTAGTAAATAGGTGGCATGATAAGACCAAGACACGTACCGATTTACAATCACTCATATTTTTATTTTTTATATATAAGTGTATTTCCGTGAACACAATAACTGATCAATCGTGGTCCAATTTTGTTTAATTTGGATTCAAATGCCCAGTTTTACTACAATCATGGGCAGAGTGAAATATAACAATAATTGATCTAGTATATTGAAGTGTACAATGCAAGCTTAATGGTTACAGAAGAAGTTTAGTAAAATACAGTTTTAAATTCCTGTAAATTATTGTATTTTGCTTGTTTATGGTTAATTTTAAGGGTCTAGTTGGTATAGTATGGTTGTAATAATTACTTTCAAATTACTATGTAGTCAACTGTAGTTTCGAGCACATAAAAGGCTTATCAGATGTTTATTTTTTATCCTTTATGACTTTTCCCAATTCTATTTTACCACAAAAACTAGCAGCTATACCCGTGCCTTGCAACGGGGAGTCAGTATGCAAAAGAAACTATATTTAAAAATACCTTAAAAATGGTTTCACTCCCTCCATTAATTTGGAAATAAAATTGAACTGTATTACTTAACTTGATACTTGAAAATAAATATAAATAAAATTTTTTTTAGTATGTTTTTGTTGACTCAGACTCTGAACACTTATTTAGGCTACCCAGGATACAAAAACAATGATAGATTTTAAGGTATAATAAAATAACATGTTGAATGGTCTGTAGGTCTACTGTAAACAAAAATCCATCACAAAATGTTTAACATATTTGTTTGGTAAAATATGAAAAATAGATGTAACTTAGAGGTTGAAATTAATCAGTCTTAATTAGGCTACTAAAATTTGAGTTTTAAAATTTAGTATCTTGTTAAAAAGTGCAAAACGATGTTAAATTACTGTCACAGACCTTAGTGAAGCTGAAGAGATATTTGGTTTGGGGTACCCCACCTGACTTAAAGCACTGGGCAATGGCTTCGTCGACGATAACTGTTCATGTACACGTTGAACTAATTGCACTATTTCTATAATTGTCCTTTTAATGATCAAAAAAATAATTTCTTCTTGGAAAAAAACAGAATTAGTATCACTTCTATTAGCACTGTACACACTGATTAATTTAATGGTTGTAATATGAAGAATTAATTTAAGTTGTGGGATGGTGAAAAAATTATGCAGATAGACGATAGAAATATGGTGATTACTCAGCGGCGGACGACAGTGGACTGTGTCGTTTGGAAGGATATCAGCGTTGAGGGCAAAGGCCGCATACCTTCGTTATCTCAAAGAGCGGCTGAATAGCGGAAAATATTACTTGGGCTAAGCTTTGTTTGAAACGGAAAAATATAAATATGGAATTGTTAATTGTTTGATTTAAATCATGAAACTTAAATATATCCAACAGTATTTTAGTGAAATAATAATCAAGCAAATGGAAATTTGCTTAGTCTGTAGGTTTGCTGCAGCAGGGGTAATTAACATTAATATTAATTAATTAATATTAGGCCTACTGATAACACAAAAATATGTCCAAAAAATAATTCTTTTAAAACCCAGGATAAGAGCCTAGGTTGATACGGCAATGATTATAGAATCTTAATTATTTTACTATATCGATCCAAAAATATTTTTTTCAACATTGGATTATTCCCTGTAACATATTATTACAGCATTTCACAAATATTAGAAGAGACTCAGTAAACAAATGACTGTAATGAAAGAATCCTATACTCTTGGCATTGACATAATTATGGTTTAACAGTTCCATTTAAGTAATGTTAAATAATATTTACATTCAGGCGAGTGACATAGTTTATTGATGTTTATGATCCATGCAGTTTCTGTTCTAATATTCATGCAGTATTTAATTTGTTTGGACCAGCTGTATGAAATTGTGAAATCAAAATTCATTTGACAGTTAGTTCTGCTTGTTTAGATTTTTAAGCTTTGTGGGTTTGTTCTTTGTTACCATGGATACCATACCATCAATAAATATTTACTTTTAAATCTCACCTGAGATTTTTGAAAGCCCACGGGGCAGAGTCCTAGATCAATATCGAAGCAGGAATAGTTCTATATGTATCATCAGAGCTGTAGCTTCATTTGTGTGCAATTTGAGCCCAGTCGGTTCAGTAGTTTTAGAGATTAGCTCATACAATTATACAAACACCCAGACACACAGACACACGGACAAACACCTCCTCTTCTTTATAATATTATATAATACGAGGTGTTAGCCCGTCCTACGTACGGGAATTCAGTAGTCAGTTAAAACCGTGTACAATTCAGATCAGCTAGTTTACATATATAAAGACAAAGTTTCTTGCAGTTTTAATGTGAAAAATCATCTTGTAAACAAATGTTGTGTGACGAAATATGTTTTTATTCCATCATAGGCCTATACGATATGCATTTTAAATCCGATAATTTTACAATAAAACAGCAATTCTGCAATTTTTACGATGTGAAAAGCGTTGAAGTGAGATTTGCAGCCGACTCGCACAGACGCACACTGATTATAAGTAGCCTCCAGTAGAGAGAGAGTAATATTCAATTGAGAAGTGTATAGACCTAGTCAACGATACCACCTTCCATAGCATACCTGCCTCTTCCATAACAATTATTATCACCACAATACAACTACTATACACAATTCCCAGTAGGTCTGAATAGAAACGACCTAAAATAAAACTATAGTATCCAATAAAGTTCACAGTACACATAATTTAACTTTGGTGTCCTAACATCAAAACTAATAGTCACACCTATCCTTTATATCAATTTCACTGCATTAATTGCTAAATAAATAAGCGTAAACAAAGAAAAGTAAAAACAATAACAGTTTGTTTTGAAACAGCTGTTTGGTTCAAATAACATTCATTTGAAAAAAAGAACTGGTCACATGTAGCAGGAATATAAAAAGTAAACACGCTAGTAAAGCTAATGACGTAATTGTCAATGTTTATTATCCATACCGTTATCAGTTCTATCATTGATAATTACCCACCCTCATTCAATAAATGTACATCGTAATTTCCCATATTAGTTAATTTAAACTACAATATATTCATAGTTGAAAGAAAAGTGATATTTTCACGTTTGGGGGCGCTGATATAGGCGCCCCCAAACGTAACCACAACTGAACACGATTTCATAAAAGGATGGTTTGTCTAATTGCAGTATCCTAGGCCAATGTTGACGTTGTGTCCAATCTATGTCATCCATCTGTTTATCTTTGTATAAAACCCGGCTGAGGTTGTGGTGGCAATTTTTAAAATCGTGATTCCTGATTATTCTTGATCTTCTTTTTATAACATCAATATTTCCGGGCCTAATCCAAACAAAAATAAAGCAGACAAACATTAATTGTAAACAAAAAGCTACCATGAAGAATTAAAACATGTAAACATTGTTATTTTTATAATCTTTCCTTGAAAAGTGGAGCAGTAAAATAATTTGCATTTATCCTTTTTTATTAAGACTCGTGTACAGAGCTTCGATTTGTACTGTGTTTTAATTAATTTTGGTTAAAACTGTGGTTTAAACTGTGGTCTAATTATCTCTACTAATCTTAATTATTTCCTATAATCAATGACAAAAATAAAATAACCTCATAGTTCCATAGTTTATATTTAACCAGCTGTTAGTTAAAACAAATTATAATGCTCTAAAACAAATCGAAGATTACAACGATTGCTTTAAAAAAATAATTTGAACATCCTAGTATTTTACTATGTATATTTAATTAATCTGCCATCCTCTTACAGAAGAATTGAACGTATCAATGATTAGCATTACACATAGTATAAATAAGTCAACCCTAAGTATGTCTTTACATTTTTATCCAAATGCTGAATTTGTAAAACAAAAGCTGAATGTTTACAGCTGTTATGTTAAGCAAATTATTTTATGCTAAAAGCTAGTTTAAAATCTTAGCGTCGGCTGCTAGACTTTTTAAAAATTAAAACATAATTTCTAAAAAACTGGGACCCTAAACTAAAATTATGGCTTCGACATTCCCTAGTTCTCAAAATTATCTTTCTTTCAACACAAAAATCATGAAAATCCGTCGAGTGGTTGATTCAGAATCGTGAAATAAAAAAACACTGTTTCGTTTTAATATTATAGATAACTAGAGGACATGTGCTGCTCCGCAGCATTGAAATTTATTTCAGAAAATCTTAAGATAATTAAATTTATTAAACTGAATATTAGTGTTAAGTGTTAACATTTTACTCAAATTAATAATTTATGTTATAAATAAAATTTGTTTTTTTACACCATTACATTAAATAACAAATAAAATATAAATACAAATATTAAATCATCTGCCTTTACAACACTTCTCTCCATACAATATTCAATGTGCGTCGTCCTTTTGGTTTTATTTCCACTTTAACTTTTTCGCATGATTTTCCTCTCGATAAGGCGACATACAGCTGACCATGGCTAAAAACTGGTTCAGGCAAGTAGACTCCAACCCGATCAATTGTTTGCCCCTGCGCTTTATTAATGGTAATGCAAAATGCTACCTTAATTGGAAATTGTCTTCGCTTGAAAGAAAATGGCACAGTTGTATCTGAAGGCAAAAGATCAATGCGCGGCAGGAGTACACGTTGCCCGATGTTCTTCCCCGTTATTATTTCCAAATCTAAAATATTTTTATGCATTTTCTTTACAATAAGCCTTGTGCCATTTAAAAGACCTGTTGTATAATAAAAAAAAAAAAAAAACAAACAATTTAACTTATGGGGAATAATACTGAAGGACCGAGTGAATTTAGTGTAAAAAAAACTTAATTTAAAAAAAAATGTAAAGAGAAAAATGAGTAAGACTTATTAGAAAGAATTGAATTGTTGTAATGAAAAGTACAAAAGTACATATGATTGATGTAAACAAATGTTGTTAAACATTTGTAAACAGCTGACATAGAGGAATATAAAATTATTGTTTATTCCTTTACAAAGAGTAACTTTTCCTTAACATACCAAATTTATGTTTTTTGATTGAGTAATACAGTAGTTTGAACATAACTGATACGAACGATCTATATCTCAAATGAAAGCTTTTATTTCTAGGAGTATTTTAAGAACAAAACATATAAACAAACTAAAATAAAAATGGGGTTATTGATCACTGGTCGTAGGTAAATCCCAAAATAATTACATTTTTTATTGTTTGGAATTCAGCAGCGCGCTTCAGGTACGTCCGATCTTAATAATCAAGGGCTCAAATGAAAGCTGGTATTTCACTGAAGGTTCTTAGACCAAAACATATAGGATTACGTAATTATAACTGAGGAAATATATCTTCAATTGAAGTAACAATTTAAAAAAATCTAATTTATGTTTTTTGGTAAAGTAATACTGTAGATAAATTAATGCTGATGCTTGATGGCAAATCTACGTGTGCATACCTTTAATTTAAGACCAAAATTATGAAAATCGGTCGGGTAGAAGAGCCGAACGGACTCGGAAAAGAAAAACCAAATTTATCTCCCATAAGAAATGTACAAGGGAGCAAATTACGTTTGTGCATAACTCGAGTAGTACGTCAGATAAATGAATGCCGATGCTTGATGGCAAATCTACGCGTGCATACCTTTAATTTAAGACCAAAATCATGAAACTCGGTCGGGTAGAAGAGGCGGACGGACTCGGAAAAGGAAAACCGATATTTTTTAATATATAGATTAATAGATAGCTAGATAGATAGATAGTAGTTTTTTGATGACTGTTAAATTTTATCTCTAACTCAGTCAGTATTCTTGTGAATATTCTATTTGCCGCTGGCCATTGCCTGCTGCCATAAAACTGTTTATGGCTTCATATCAAACTTTTAACTAATCTACAATCTTATTTTATAAGTTAAAATATTTGTTATGATGGATATTTCTTCTTTATATTGATGAAACCTCAAGCGTTGTTTGTATATTTGTTTTGTTATTTTTTGTTTCCTATATTTTTTATTGTACGTAGGTACTTTTCACAATCTAAATCTTATGAACTAGAATGGTGATAGTGACTTTGCTACCCTCATTATTTGTTACTCAATTTATATAGGCCCTCTTAAATAATTAGGTCTAGGCCTGGGTCTTTTCATTTTTTGGGAGAGCTTTAAAATATACTAAGAAAATTTAATCAAGTCTGAGATAAACTAACGATTGATATGGGTTGATGTTAACTTTGCAAATTAAAAGACAATAATCTAAATCTGTGCTAATCAAATTTTTGGTATAGGAAAACACTTGGCAAGAGTTGTATCCATCTTATAATTAGTTTTGAATCTGATAAAAAAGATACTCTTTTCCATTACTTCATCATAACCTCCAGTTTTTGATTGTCATCTGTTGAATGTGAACAGCTGGCAACTACACTGTATTCGTACTGAATGCATTTATGTTTTTAAAGGTAAAAAAAAAAACAATCTACTAAAACATGATTTCCCTTACCTGTAGCAGCAAACCTAGACCTTTTAAACATTATGTTATTTAACTAGGGAATAAATCTGTCATCTAAGGAAATATTTTAGTAAAAGCCCAATCAAATAAATAGAAATTCACCTAGTCTGCAGGCTTGCTGTGGCTGGGGTGTTGTTTATTACTTTACTTTTCATTCTCAAGGACATTCTTGTTTGTAAACTATTAGTTTGTGCAGGGAATGTCGTTCATCGCAGCGGTGCTGATACTCAACATGGAGGCTGCTGACGCATTTGTATGCTTTGCTAATTTGTTGGACCAACCCTGCCACCGCGCATTCTTCCATCTCAGTCAACCACACATGCAAGCCTACTATTCAACTTATGACCACCTATTCAGGTTAGTTATAATAATAATTTCAATTTGTTTATTATCTCGCATGCAAAAGTTTTCTGTACACTGCAGCGCCTTGTATACCTCTCTAGCTGCTAGATATTTAGAGGAAAACTCATATTCATTACCTTATTATAATATCTTTTACAGGTACAAAGTTTAAATACATTTGATTTGTTTTCAAATTAAATAACAAAACGTACTACATAAGTTATTACATTTCAACCAAATTCCTTCAAGCAGTTTTTGAAAATTCCATTTTTAAAGTCTTATGAAAAAAAAACACCATTAAAAGTCTAAATTAAAAAAAATATATACAAAACACCTGGAGATACCTTATTATTTATACCTTATTTATCCTTTTTAATTTTTCATCATGATGTTTTAAGTTAAGTTTTCTGCTGTAGCCCCCTGGTGAAAGTGTTTTTCCTTTTTAATTATGTATTGGTATGTCGAGTAGTATAAAGTATTGTAAATTGATTATAAGTTGAATGGACATCAAAGATTCTGTAGTAAATGGACTGATACAAATCGTTCCCCACGCACAGACTTTGCCTATGTGGGGACCATCCTTTATATGTATTATAATTTTTGTAACATATTTTTTGTCTGAAAAAAAGAAAAGATACCTTGGATTAGTACTCACATACCTTATTTGATCAGTATTGGTCTGTAGCTCTGTGCACATCCACTTGCACACCCACAACCACTCAAAACAGATATGTTCACATCAAAAACTGAACCTCTAAAATGTTGTACAAAAACTTTGGTACAAGATGACCGAGAGTAAAAATGACATTTTTAGTCATGATCATGGCATTTAGTATTTAATGTAGTATTTAGAGTAATTTTGTTTTTCCTACGGCATATTTCAAGACATTCTACAACTTATTACAAGAGAATAAGCCTGAGAAATATCCCTTTTAATTAATGTCCAGATTTTGACCGCCTAATGTGGCTTTGGGCTAATCCATGAGTAAATGCCTATGTATAAAGGTCCTGTCCATATGACTATCAAGGGTTTCAGTAAAAAAAATGTTACTGTAATTTCATATCATGTAGTATGTGAGTACTTTTTATCTTATCTCCTCCTATTTATTTTGTGGTATTAAACTATGTTAATTTTACTTAGGCTCGCCAGACGTGTTCAATAAATTTAATAGTGTCAATATATCTATGATTGTAGAGAAAATCTTCCCGAGCTGTACAGTCACTTCACCAACACCACGTTGACCCCTGACCTGTATCTGCTAGATTGGATATACACAGTGTTTACCAAGACCATGAACCTGGACCTGGCCTGCAGGGTGTGGGACGTGTTCCTACGTGATGGTGACGAGTTCCTTTTCAGGACAGCTCTTGGTAAGTTACACTAACTGGTAGCAAATTATTTATAATCAGGGAAGGGATTCCGATTCTCAATACCGATTCTGAAAAAGGAGGTTAATTACTATGAAAAACTCGACTGACGTTGCAGGTTGTAACAAGTGACACATCATAGTTTATTTGGAATACTCTGAAGCCAGCTAATCCTATATATTAAATCGTGACAGGGCTTTTCATTTCACGATTCTGAATCAACCACTTGACGGATTTTCATGTTTTTTGTGTTGAAAGAAAGATAATTTTGAGAACTAGGGAATGTCGAAGCCATAACTTTAGTTACGGTTTCAGTTTTTTAGAAATTAAGTTTTAATTTTCAAAACGTCTAGCAGCCGACGGACGAGTTTAAGTCGTTTTAGTGGTGGTTTAACTAACAGCTGGTTTCTAACTGTCATAGAAATGTTTATGTTACAAGTTGTTTGTATACAAAAATATTGATTGTCAGAGTTTGCCTACACACTATTTCACTTTAAAATGTAGTTTCTTTCCTACCGTTAAATATCTATTTTATCAGGAGATTGTGTAATTTTAGACTAAAATTTTTAAACTTATAATCAAGTTTTGTAGGATAGTTGTGAGAAGTTTGTTTAAAAAGAGAATTTTTGTTTTTGAAAATGTATATGATTAATGATCTTACATAAAGCTGTGAAAGATTAAAAACTTTGAACTCGTCAAAGACATATTCTGAGGGGTAGCGGCGAGGTTTTCGTAGAGCAATTTTTATAATGGCTTTTTGAATAATTTCGATAGGGGCCAGAATACTTTTATAGCCACCACCCCACGCTAGATTCCCAAATTGTAGAATAGACTGTATGTATGCATGGTAAATGTTTTTTAGAAGATCAAGAGGTAAAATTTTGGATATATTAGAAAAAACAAAAATGAATTTACGTAGTTTACATCTAATTTGATTTATGTGACTAGTCCATTTCAGCCGGCTATCAAACATCACCCCTAAATACTTAAACTCATTCACACATTCAATACTTTCACACTTGTCACATTCAATCTCGGCACCACAACTATGTAATTTTAAATATAAATCTAAAGGATCATAATCAGATCTTAGTGAAATTGGCATGTATTTTGTTTTTGATAAGTTTACGGTTAGCTTATTCTGGTCGAACCATGGCTTGACAGTGAGAAGGCCGCGCTCGGCGCTGCTGTACACCTCCGGCCAGCTGTCGCCCTCGAACAAGATACGTTCAGCGAGATAATCTTCAAACCATTTTAAAGTGACACCTCTCACCCCTATACATTTCAACTTATTAAGAAGTAATCGTCTGTCAATGGTGTCAAAGGCTTTAGCTAAATCTATAAAGACAATTATAACAGGTTACGTACCTTGACGTCCACAATTCCTTAGTCGGTGTCTGTTGACTATAGTTTCGACTACTACGTAGTCATTATCAAAAACAGAACGTTAAAATAATTACATTCGTTGAATGTCGTCAAATCTTAAGTATATCGAACACACAAACAAACATAACACGAACACGGTAGACATTTAACATAATTGGCCGGCCGGCACACGTCACTGAACTGGTCGACGACGACTGACTATTTACCCCACTCCATTTCGTTTATCAGCTGTGCCTCCAGGACTCGTGTTGCCAACATAATTGTTATCAAAGTGATCTAAGACTGTGTTGAATAGTTTGTTTGAACCATAATTAAGTTTTTCATTGAGCATGTTGTACGGGTCGGATTTAGTGGCTTTGTATATTTCGAACTCTTCGAGGGTGTCTAGCATGAAGCCTTTCTTGCAAACATGTAGAATTTCTGCATTATCATTAAAACTATTAACAGTATGGTTTGAATTTAATAAATGTTCAGCGAACTTGGATTTTTGTTCTGTTTGTTTTGGTTTAGGTAAATGTTCAGAAAAACGTTTCTTAAATGATCTGCCGGTCTGACCTATGTAAAAGTTTGGACAGTCAGAACATTTAATTTTATAAGTACCAGTAGCTGATTCCTTAGGTTTACTGTTTTTCGGCAACCTTTTATTTAGTTTCGCCCCAAGTTTGTTAGATGTTCTATAGGCCAGAGTTAAGCCGTGAGGGTTCAATTCTTTCTTTAGTGTGTACTGTAGGCTATTGCTGTATTCCACAGAGACAAAACGTTTATGAACTGTTGTAATATTACTAGGAGAGGGTTTTCGGTTTTGTTTATTAATTATCCTATCAACGATGGAACCAACTGTTTCTGGGATAAAATATTATAACTATTTTCCTGAAATCATAAAATCTGAAAAGAGTATGAAATGTTTTGAAAGGAAATTAAAAAGATTTCTTGTGGCCAAAGCGCTATACAGTTTTGAGGAATTTTTTATTGTTTAAGGTCATTTCAATAAATATTTATTTTACATATATGTATAATGTATCACTTTTCTATCTAGTTACTAGGCGATATAATGTACATATTATGTATTGTTCTAAACGCCATTCATGTATACTTTTGTATATATGTGAATAAAGTATCTTTGAATTGAATTTAATTGAATCTCCCGCGGTCCTGTAGATATCGTAATCAACATCGCGGTCGTGAATACATGGTAATCGTCTCCCACGGTCGTGAATACGTGGTAATCGTCTCCCGCGATTGCGGCAAAATATTAATCATGTCCCGCAGTCATGTGGACATTATCATCGTCTTGCGTGATCGTGGTATAATTCTGATCATCCCTCGCGGCCGTGTAGAAATCATTATTGTATCTCCCCCGATCCTGCAGACATCGTAATCGTCTCCCGCGATTGCGGAAAAATGGTCATCATCTCCCGCTGACATATGAAGATCGTCTTCCGCGAATGAGGCAAAATTCTGATCTTTTCCCGTGGTCATGTGGACATTATCATCGTCTTGCGCGATCGTGGCATAATTCTGATCATCCCTCGCAGCGTTTAGAAATTATTATTGTACCTCCAGCGATCATAATCGTCTCACGCGATTGCGGCAAAATGTTAATCATGTCCCGAAGTCGTTTGGAGATCATCATCGTCTTTCACGATTGAGGCAAAATTCTTCGTGTTTCCCGTGTTCGTGTGGACATTATCATCGTCTTCCGTGATCGCGGTAATATTCTGATCATCCCTCGCGGCCGTGTGTAGACATATTATTGTTTCCCGCGGTCACAGAAACGTCACTGTTGTCATACGCGATCACCGTGGATTGAAAACTCCAGGGTGAAATACAAAATTCACACATAATTCCTCGTTCAAAAAACGCACGCATGATTCCCGGATTTCCCGGTCGGTGGATACCCTACATATATATTGCAAAGGGGCGCTACTATTATTTGTGCCTAGGGCGCTGACAGGGTCAAAAACGGGCGTGTACAACTCCCTATTCTAATTCGTGATAGGCTTGATCACTTGCTGATCATAGTGTATATATAATATTTATTTATTTATTTATGGAAAACTCCATTTTACATATGCATACAAAGATGGCAAAACGTTACATTTCAGGCTTATACATGTCATACATGAAGATAGAACAGACTAAAAAATTACTTAATAAGTTAAGATCTATCAAATCTTACCACAATCAACAACAATATATACAATTTAACCCTCCGAGTGTTATTTGTCGCTGCAGCGACACATAACACACTTTGTGTAGTGTTTTGTGTCGCTGCAGCGACTCACAAACACTGTTTACGGCGAAGGCTCTATGACTGACAAAATCGGATTGAACTGGACCGAGTTAGGTATCGTTTTATTTGACAGATTCAGAGCTTTCTCCGGAGGTCTGTCTCTAAGCGCTTTTCATTTTAGTTCCGAAAATATTGTAGCAGACAGCTGACGTGCGTATTTGTAAACAGCTTGGTTAACCTCGGACCGATGACTGATGTGTTTTATTACGTTTATCATTGTTTTAGTGTTAAAAATCAAAAGTAGTGATATACGTGGTGCATTATAAGAAGATTTAAGTGATTTTGAAGGGCTGGTTGATGATCCTGAAGAAGTAGGTAGTGATATTGATGTAAATTATCAGCCAGATTCCTAGCTATGGTTAGGCTATGCATTCTTCTATGCATCATGTACTGAAATCTGTTTTTTGCCCATAACTTATTTATTTGCAAATCTACTTCCTTATATTATTATATATTTGTAATCCTCATAAAATTTAGAACAATGTGGCTATTTTCAAATATTTATAGGCCTATAATTTATACAATTTCATTGCGGGGGGACTTTATTTTATTTTTTTTTCCAAAATTTATTTTTTTTCCTAAAAAATTTTTTTGAACAAATGTTCCTTATGTTTTGTATATAATATTGAAGCCCATGATTTTCCAAACAAAATGGTATATAGAACAGTATAATTAACATTGTTTTTAAGCTTCTCAGATCCGTTTTAATAAAACCTTGCAAATGAGCAAAAAATAGGCAGACATTAAGGCCAAAACAAGGGACACTCGGAGGGTTAACAATCATCATGAGAAACAACAAGAAGTTTTGTATAATTAGCAACAATGATAAAGAATCAAAACAAGTAACATGTTAAAAAAATACTTATATAAAGATATAACAAATCATACTAAGAGTACGCTCCGAAGTCGCGTATGAGAATGAACAAAGACAATTCCATGTAGGCTACATATATAATCTTTCTTTAGTCTTTGGCCCCTCTTATACCCTGCCCCTGCGGTGCGCCGCAAGTTTGTGCGGCGGCAGTGGCAGTGATGACATCTTAAAAGCCATAAGTGGTTGCTGGTATTTTGTCAGGATTACCAACTTAGGGATTTCTATCCACCTTTAGATATTTATACCGAGTGTAGTACTTGGAATAATGGAATAGTAGAATTAGTTGGAAATGAATTAGAAATTACTTGGAATAATGGAATACTTCCATACTTGGAAGTATGGAATAATAGAATTATATTATTTAATTTGAATAATACTTCCCGGGTGGCAGCGACCACATAGTAGGCCTACAAACAACTTGTACTATGTGGTTGCGGAGCACCCTGTTTA